ACAATGATGTTTCTAGGAAACATTAGGTGAGAGGGCAGAGAAGGGGCCACAGGATGTTCCAATAATATGTAAAATGATAAAAAAGTTAAATAAAGCCACTGGTCACATAGTCCATTGAACATTTAGTTTTAAACTATCAAAACTAGTCTGTTCTAGTGCTATTTATTTTACTTGTTGAGTTGGACCTATATTGGAAGCCAGTTGACTTCACAACATGACAGATTAGGACATGACTGGTAAAAACAGCAAAATCAACATCCTTTACAAGACTGGTAAAGACCGTCACATTGTAACTGACTATCAATAAAAACTGTGTATAGTGGGACAATCTTCTGCTAGCTAGATTTGAACTATATTAAATTCCAGTCGACTTCACCACACCACAGTGGAGTTGACTTCTGTTATACTACTGTAGCAGAAGATAGTGCCGACTGCTTGCTTTAGTCTAGTGGTAGTCGATTGGTTGATTATATTGAAGACTGAGCCGGTATTCTACTATAATACAGACCAGTTCTCTAACTGGCATGTTGTGTTTTGGTTTTACTCTAGTCTGATATTATTTAGATGAACTTTGGAACCGATATGATGTGTTCTGATCACAAGTTCCTGTAAATCAGTGTTAATGCAGAGTGAATGTATCAAATCTTAAATTCTATAAAAAGGTGAATTTGTTTGGATTCTAAGCGTTCAGTGTTAGTGTTTAAGTTAAAATTCTGGATTGTTTAACAGCTTTGAAGCTCTATATGTTATGTTTTGAACAACATTTGTTTTTGATTCAATACTAACAGTGACTTTTATGTGTGAACCAGGATTTTTACAGAGTTTATTCTTCAATCTAACTTCTTTAATCCATGAAGGTTGAAATAAATAGGATAAGTTCCAAGAATAAAAACATAAATTTTTGTGAGTTTTGGAATAAGAATTGTGTTTAAGATTTTTATCTGCGTTACATTTGTTCAAAATAAAAATTGAAAAATTGGAATGTTTTTAAGAAAGTTCATTTAAATTTGCATTTACAGTGACTCAAAAATACACACTTTTCCGAAACTTTGCTAAGAATTGTATCTTGCAGTGTCCCTTCTGAGCAAAATAAATAAGTTATTACAGTCTAACCTATTGGACTAGCCATCGCGTTAATAATAATTTGTAACCGTCGGTCCAATATCAGTTTTGATTTGATGAGGACCTATGTTAACCCTAAGGGTCGAAGGTGAACGTTTAATCAAAGAATTGTGGGTAACGGAGAGATATGATGAGAGGGATTATGATGCTTGGCGTGTGATTTACATGTGATATTAGCTGGGAAGATTGATGTCTGATATCAGTTGTAAGGTTCGTGAAGATGGAAATTAGATTCCACTGAGTTTAGATTAATCATTGTTGTTTCTTTCTTTACACTGCAAGTGTTGGAAATTACGCTACATTTTCAAGGATTTTAATTTTCTTTCTGGATAATTTGGATACGGGATTAAGGTAAGCTCTGTCATTTCCTTCTGTCTACCAGAGTTAGAAAAGTTGTAGGATCTTTAAGGGGCAAAAACCATGTTGTCTTTTATTACAAACCTATTCGTTCTCTTCTAACAGTAGCCACCTTAACATCAAATAAACCATATATTGAGCAGGTATCATAATTATATTTTATAAAAAGAAATATGTATATAATTTTATTTTTTGTGACATTCGGTATTAGACATTTGTCATATTGTCCATGATGAAGTTACAGAAAATACAATTCAATATAGTTCAAATCTAGCTAGTAGAAGATTATCCCACTCTACACAGTTTTTATTGGCAAATATCATATTATTCACTAAAAGCTAAGCACATAATGTTACAAGTCAAGATACATGTGTTGTTTTCAGATGAAATTAATTTTTGTTATGTAACCCTCACTCTTAAAATAGGATTAAGATTTTAGGATAGAATTTTGGATAAGGTAAACTGACAAATAGCATTGATTTTAAGAAGATTATGTTTGAGATATGAAAATGTAGGTTTAAGCTCTTTATGCAACAGGGTGAAAATGCAATTACATTTGTCATATCAGAAAACTACTGTAGGAAACTTGTTTAGTTTGGGAAAGAGTCATCTTCACTATGTCAAGATATTGACTACAATAGTCAACTTTCTTGTATCATGGAAGTTTGCAAATGCAGTGATTTCATGAGTTCTACACTAGCAAATACATCCAATCAGAGTCCTTGACAGAAAGAAATCTGCCTTAATTTATCAGTGAATAGATTCTGTTTTTGGAAAATTGATTAGACTATGTTTATTCTCTAGTTTTGCCAAAACAATTCCACTTGCATCAGGAATCTAATATCTGAAAAACACTTCGAAAAACATGTCAGATTTTTTCTGGTGCCAATATCAAAGAAACAGGCTTCTTAGAAGAAATTTCTATCTGGCTTTCAAGTAGAAACTTTACAAGATGTTACATGGACAGAGAACTCATAAGAATTTCTTTGAAATTGTCTTTAGTATTATGGGATAGATAGTTCTTGCTGCGTGTGAAAATGGTAGGAGATATGATTAAATGTGTTTGAATTAAGAAATGTTATAGTTATGTTTCGTTAATAAAGTTGACCATAGAGCATGACAAGAGAGCAAGTGCAGATTTTTTGTGGATTTTATTCAGGGTATTGGCTCCAGTAACAGTTTTGACTCCAAATGTCAAGTCATAACACAAAGTCCACAATCAAAAAGTCAAGAGCACTGGGAGTAGAAGACATGAAATAAATCCAACAGTCTTTCTGGATCATTCAGGCTGAAAATGACTGGAAGCAAAATAATAACCAAATTTCCTTCATTGCACACTTCCTGCTTTGTTTTTACCAGCTTCATCAGCTCAATCTGGAGAAGAAAAGTAGGATGTAAAACTCCATTTCGTTTTGTTTCCTTTGGAAGTTTTGATACTAATAATAAAGTCTAGATGATAAATGAAGAAAATAAATAAGGTTATATTATGTTTGTGTAAGATGAGAAAAGTCGTTATTGTTGGCATCTTAGAATCAAGACTTAGTAATAATTACCTACTGAATGTTTTCAAACATTATTAGTAAACATGGTGGTGCAGGCAATCTTACATGTACATGTTTTTTACCTGCATTCCTCCTGTATTCTACATTAACCTATTTTCTACCATGATTAGTATTATTGTGTGTCATTGATGATTATATTTAAATGTTATACTTAAGGATCAAAGGGAAAAAGTGGCCATTTTGCCTGGATCTCGAGTCAATAACAACCTTATTAAAACAAACCCTAGAATTCTGACAAATTTCTCTCTGGGGGTGGGCATGTCTGGAATTCCAGCACATGCTAAAGATTGGCAGCGAGAAATTCAAAATAATGAGCATCTAATCTAATAAATAATCTTTCAACCTAATAAATAGGTCCCTAATGGCAGGTGTTAGGGGCAGAGGTAGATCTGCTTGTCTGGTAATTCTCACCATCATGGTCTTGTCTGACTAATTGGATGTCCCAGACCAATTTTTGTCGAATTTTCACAGACTCGCTATAAGATAAATTTGATATAACATCCTTCAGGACTTGTTGGTCAAATCTCTTTGGATGGCCTGGTTGTTGAAGCAAATGAATTAATCCATTGCAGCAAGACTTATCCTTTGGGACTAGATGTTGGATCCATGTTGGAAAACTTGTGTTTGAATCGTCCCATATCTTATTTTTTAGGGCTGGATTTTCAAATCCTTTCAGTTGACCTGGTCTTGATGACTGAAGAAATAAAACTGAGTACATTCTACTAGTGGCGGAGACAAAGGGAGGGCAGACGAATGCAAGATTTTCAGGCATGACTCTCATAACTAGTTAAAAATTCAGGCAACCTCAAATATTTCTCCCCCTCTCAGGGCACTGCATTCTACTGTTAGCGACCTACATGGATTAGTGAATTGATCAGTTTTTATCCTCCCAGATGAGGCTGGATCACACATGTTTCAATTTATTCTTCATTCAAAAATTAGTTATGACATTTTGCAAGACAGTAAAATTGTTCTCCAAGGTGTCATCTTTAAAGCCTTCAGTAATGATTTCTGCAGACTAATTCAAAGTGTTTGATATAAGAATACGTAAGAATTAGATTTAATGTGGCATTTCTGTAATATCAGTACTAGAAAGTGTTGTCTGTGGCAATTCTCGTAATGATTTCTGCAGACCAATTCTCTATATTATTGGATAAACTGAATTACTATTGATCTAGAACATGAACTTTACGAAATCCCAACACCAGCTATTTCACTATTATTGAATTTGAGATCTAGTTGTAGAAACAATTCGCTTGTAACATCTATTATTCATATTCTTATACCTAGCTGACGTGTGCTGGTCTTCTTTTATTTCACACATACTTGGATTAATCTCAATTACCTTTGGAAATATGCCGTGATGTCATCAGTTTTGTTGTAGTTGGTTTACCTTATATGGAAACACGTCATATCATAAGTTTTGTTTAACGAGGTAGAATATGTCTGCTGAATTCAATGATTTAAAACATAACCACAAACAGTGATATCATTGGTTTTGTTCTATGGATTCATACTGTAATTTTCCTTACTCAAAAACCATAAACCTTTGCTGTGATGTCATCATATGATGTGCTGATATCATCAGTTGTTGAGCTGATGTCAGAATATCTTGTGATGTAATTAGTTATCGGTCACTAAACTTATTTTGATTGTTCCCTTGGCCGTACTTTCTGATGTCTTATGATCTTAGAGCCCACAACTTTTAATGCACTGGATTTACCTGTATGATTTTTGCTGGATGGTTTGCAGACGTAAATTTTTCGATATAACCTCAATTAATAAGAAAGGTCACACAACGTTTTAATGCACTGATTTACCTGTATGATTTTTGCTGGATGGTTTGCAAACATAAATTTTTGGATATAACCTTAATTGATAAGAAAGGTCATTGTGCAACTTTTGAAAATTTCTTGATTTTTCTATTTTCAGTGATGTGCCACAAAACAGATAGATAAAATGGATGGCGTCCATAGCAACTCGACACGGCAGAAACCTCAACCTCGGGTTCAACGCCGCTCACGAATGAGGAATAGAGGTAGTCAGACATGTAGCTCATCAGACGAAGATTTTCATTCGGACGACAATCTACGCCCTTACGAGGAAGTTAAAATTGCGCATCACGACAAGAAACTGTCAGGTCTAGGTAGGTGGAATAATTTTTGATTGATATCACCTATGTAGTATTGTTGTATGTTGCCTGCGATTGAATGAATGTTTTAAATTATAAATGAAGATTCCAGTTGCATTAACATTTCTGCTATATAAACTCATCCAAGCGAACACAAAATTATTTTCTTTTGTTGTAATTTTGATACTGGGTCAAATTAACATATAACATAACCAAGCACACTATTGTATTTGTTTTAAAGTAGGATAAAGTCTTTTCCTTAAAAATTCAAGTAGCCTTCTTACGATTCTAACCGTAAAACGAAACCCGCGATCCAAAACATTATTATGCAGAAACAATGGCAGCAGCTTATGAATTTTTCACAAAATTACTCCGATTCTGAATTTCTGTAGCACAGAAAAAGACCTTAGACCTGTAAATACATTTTGTGTTGAAATTGCCTCTGGAAGCCGATGCTGTTAAAATTCGAAATTTGATTTTGAACCAAATCAAAGCAACACAATATTGATATGAAAATTGAAACCAAATCCACAAATATTGCAAAATATCATTTTCTAATTAAATTTAGAATTGTCATAAACAAATTTGAGGGAATTAATTTGAAAAAAATTGTTGAGCATGAGAAAATGTTGTGGTTTAAGGTAATTATCTTTTAGTCAGTCATGTTCACATTGTGAGATAACTAGTTCACGATTACTGTTTCATACCAAATTATCATAACTCATCTCTACGAACCTCTTGTTTTTCACTTAAGCAGTTGGCCGATTTAAAGTAATGCGGAAATAAAAGGCAAGAATTAAAAAAGATTTCGAAAGAATTTAAGACTTGCTATTGGATGATTGATGTTGTTTTTAGTGAATCGTCATGGCGATTATATTGTCTTTCTCGTTCGTAATTGTTGATGAATTGACGACACGATTAAATCTCCATTACGTTATTCCAAACAATTTTTAAACGATTTTACATGTTCGAGACATTATTGTCTGAATTTTTTAATAGAAATATTTGTGTGCATCTTTAAAGAGATTTCAGAGAAGTTTTTGAGCCTTTTTTATGACCGTGGAAGACATTTTGGATTTTATTTTGCACCATTCTAAATCCCCGAACACGTCTGCGAAGCCTTAAACGAAAATTGCGACATGGAATTTTTTTTTGCTCGTTCATCACTGTCAGACGTTTATTAAGCCACAGTTAAAAACAGGAAATAAAGTTGAGAAAGGAAAATAAATGTCTTGTGTTTTACGCGTCCTCATCATGCAATAAGCTCGTCTCTGAAGGAGAGTAGAAAATCCTTTTAAAATCTCCATCACTTTCTTCTCGCTAACGACAGACATTTTGATGAGATGAAAGTTGACGCGAGAGATAATCCACCATGATGAATTCGATACAACATGCAACTTTTCATTGTCACAATAAAAGAAAATAAAATTTAATTATGATGTATGGAATTGTTTCTTGAGGTTTAAGAATCAAACGTGAATTAATGGTTATTTTGCTTTGAAGATGTTGCCACAGGACCATATTTGACACTGTTTCTGTTTTATGTCCTATTGATTTGATCTTTCGTAATGAAATCTTAATGACTTGTTTTCCTTAATTGGACACTGCATGGTGTCATCTGCATTCATTTGCCCCGTCAGGTGCAGTTGGATGTTGAACTTCATTTTATTTTTTTTAAACCAGATAAGTACTGGACAGTGGGAATATACCCCTTTTTAGCTTTTCTCAAGATGTAATATTATTTTAATAAAACTAAAGACAGACAACCGATTTTTGTTATGTGTTCAAGTTTTCATTAGCCACATCAATGGACATTGTTCAAAAGAAACATTGCATAGGCCACTTTGTCAATGACTTTTGTCTCACGTGACCACAAGGTTCAAATAAAAAAAATTTCTAGAACTGAAAATGTTTCTTAAAAATGCTTTTATTCAATGCACACGACAGACTCAAAACATTTGTTCAGAATTCAAATAATTTTTTTTGCTAACATGCACGACTTACTTTTGCCATGAAACAATTTCTGTCGTGTGCATTGAGCTTTAGGTACAGATCTGAAGGCTGTGAAATTTCACATTTTTTCATGAATCCAATAAGATACAGAACAGTAGGATATAAACTACATATCATTTCATTTGTCCAATAAGATACAGAACAGTAGGTTATAAAACTCCATTTCATTTCATTAGTCCAATAAGATACAGATCAGTAGGATATAAAACTACATTTCATTTCATTAGTCCAATAAGATACAGAACAGTAGGATATAAACTACATATCATTTCATTAGTCCAATAAGATACAGAACAGTAGGATATAAAACTCCATTTCATTTCATTAGTCCAATAAGATACAGAACAGTAGGATATAAAACTACATTTCATTTCATTAGTCCAATAAGATACAGAACAGTAGGATATAAACTACATATCATTTCATTAGTCCAATAAGATACAGAACAGTAGGATATAAAACTCTTTTTCAAATATTTTAAGGTTTATGTATGAATACGCATTCATTAACACAATAAGATACAGAACGGATGTAAATTTCAATGCCACAAAAAACAAGGAATATTTAGATATAGTCTGCTAAGTTTTTGGTTAGAATTTACATAAGATTCTTATTCAATTCCTTGGAGACGGGAGAAATTATTTCACACCATAAGCTGCCATTTTCCTTCGAAGATTATAAAAAGATTTACATATTTCACACAGAAGAATAAAGAAGGAGCTGTCTTGCTGTTATCAATTAGGAAAGGTTTTGGTGGAAGATGTTGCCCTTGGAGATTTGAAAATTGCAGAAGTTTTTTGATAAAAAATGACATTTTCAAAAAGTCTTGCGTAAAAACAGGAAGAATGGAGGATTTTTGTTAAATTGAAATAAGAGCCAGGATTGTTACAGACTTCGATACGAAACTCCCGGAGGGTGTTGGAATAATTTAGTCATGTATATATTTGTGTCATAGGGAATAAATGTTGAAAGTGTCTCCTCTATGTGACATTTTGGTTGGAAGAAAGGAGATTCAGACTTTGGCACTACTTCCAGTAGGGTTTCGAAATAGTTAAGACTTCTTTATATGTTTGAATACTTCATTTCAATGTGAAACATTGGGTGGAAGTAGTTTTTTGTTGCTTGACTTCAAAGAGATTCAGAACTTTGGCATGGCTCCGACTAGGGTTTTAGGAATAGTTTAGACTTAAAATATTTTGTATGTCCCAAAACATAAATTTTGAAATTTTGTTCTCTATTGGTTGGGATTATTTTTTCGTTACTTAACCTCATTGAGCTTCAGAACTTTTGCACGCCCCCCCTAGGGTTTATTAATAGTTTTGTGTTAGGTCACTTGAATTTTGCTGTGTAACAGATCAGGAATGTAACATACCCTTTCTCCCTGATGACGTGTTGGGTGGAACTATTTTCTACAAATCTCTCAACATATGGGACGGATCACGCAGCTGGGTAGTAATTTCTCCCCAAAGGACAATGTTTCATTCCATATGAAGTCTGCTTTCCCTTGAGACCCAAATTGATGAGGAATTCTGTCAAAATTTATCAATTTAGTGGCTTATGGAAGATCAAATTTGAATTTTTCATTTTCATATGGGATATATTGTTTCAAAGATCATATGTTAGATAAACAGCTGTAGATTGGATTGTGAGGGAATACCAATATTATTACATATAGCAAGATTAAAACATTCAAGTTGCAACTCCAAATAGCCATGGTCTTTTGAATGATTGGTATCTGTACTAATATTTCCCTTTACACCATCCAGTTTGACTTACTGCTATATTTACATTGCATTTTATGCTCTCATGGTTGCCCTACTTCCTATAACTCTTTTCACCCTCTAGGATGGCTTATTGCTATTTTACATTGCTTATAAACTACCAAGTTGGAACTACATTAGAAGTGATAATTAGAACATGTCAAACTACTCTCTGTTTGTCTTATTTTTGGGGATCTAGACCTACTTGCTATGTCTTAAAATATATTCTGGGTCGAATATGAAATAATTGACTTACGCTTTAAAATAATAAGCAATTAATAATAATAATAATGAAAGACTTGTGATTGAACGACAGTAATAACATAACGACTGACGAAAGCTTAGCCAATATTTTGTAAAGTAATTATATTGAGAATTGATTTTTCTCCCTGGTTGAAGAGTAGGTCTATAAATAGTATCAAATGGTGAATAATTGACGTCCGGATATTAGGTAATTTTGTCAAAGACTTGCTGATGTGATTAAGACCTATTATGTCCATGTGAACTCTATAAATTAACTCAAAATATAATCATAATAAATGGCATTGAAATATGTAAGCTTTCATGTGATTAAGATCAAAGTCCTTGTGAACTCTATAAATTAAGAAATAGGTGAACAACTCACTAATATAATATAGTGCATTAAAATAAGTAATCTTTCATGTGATTAAGACCGAAGATAGTTCAATTGCAGAATGGTTATATGCTTTCAGAATTAAACGTAAGCAAAATTCCATGTGATAAAAATAACTGGCCATTTTGAACTTTTAAGAAAAGTGACTTATGAAATTATGCTATACTGCTCTATTTTAAATAGTGATTCAAAACTTTTGGCTATTTGTAATTTTGGCTTTTATAGGTAAAATTTTTGGCTATTTAATTAAATCAATTTGGCAAGTCAATGGCATGTAGCTCGTGTGAAATTTAAACTTGTTGATACCAAATTATGTCCAAAATTGTCAACAAAAAGAGAAATACATCCCTAAATAAAACCAGAAGATGAATCCATTGTCTACATTATTGTATGGTCTTAGATTATGTCTTTAAAATTCAGTTATGTTTTTCAATGTTGTGATATTATAAGACTGGTTGATGAGACTGGTCCATGCGACTGGTTAACCTGGTTAACGAGACTGGTTAATAAGACTGGTTATTGAGGCTGGTTGACGAGACTGGTTGACGAGACCTCACAATATTTCTTTTAAATATTCAATAGGCTTGATGTGAGAACTCATTACAGTATCATTAAATCTAGTCAATTGTATATTTAGATCGTTATAGCGACACTTTAACGATATTGATATTTATGTCATCTCACGTGTTCGACACCATTTTCCATTTACATTGTCCAATAAATTTCTACGAGAGAGGATGTAGGTTTTGAATTAACAAGACATTTCAATCTAAGAATTGTACAAAATGACAAGATCATATTGTTGTGAAACAAATCCAATCATTGGTAAATTCAATTTGTTTTCATATCGAACTATATTGATTTAGACGTTTCTAAATATTTATTCATCATAAAAAATTCCTCGATCACATTTGTCATTGTCTGCTAGTGTTTGGTTTTACGCGTGAATTTTTACGAAAAATTAAGTAATTTGATTGAGCGTGAAGGTAGACATAACACAAAATAATTGGACACTTGAATATATCAGTCTGTTTGTTTGTTTTCGATATCAATTTCATTCAATTCCAGAGCCTACCATGTTTTTTTCTTTCTCAGAAATTTTATTTTTGTTTATTTTTTTGATAAAATCCTGTTGACGTTTGATGAGACATTTAAATTCGATTTATAAATTCAGTCTCATTCATTTATTTTTAAACAAGATCTACATACATTGACAATTAAACACATTTGTAAGCAAAAACATGGCTTTTAAATTAATTTGCATTTTGATGAAAAAACTGTTGACTCTTGCCAGGCAATCTTTTAGATTCAATCAAACCTTAATAAATTAGTCTCAGGGATAAATCTGAATACAATATCAACAGAAATGAGAATTATAGGAATAATGTCAAGAGAACTTTGGCTTCAGCATGCTAGTGTTATAATCATAGCAATGGTTATTGAAGCTTCTATTAATGGTATACTACCTCTTAGGATGACCAAATAATTCAAAATTTAAACTTGGCGAAAATGAGTCTTTGTTCATCAGTGGACTTACCTAGTGTGAAAATTATACAACAGAATTCCTGTATAATCCAATCAATCCATAAAACTAAGTCATTATTCATTAAATTAAATAATTTAAAAAATGCTTAGAAGGGTGTTTCAATAATTACTTAGTTTAATGGATATATCGTATTATATAGAGATTTTATTCTTTAGTTCAACTGATGAATATATACATTTGTTGACCAAGTTTGAGACTTTGAATTTGCCCATTCTAAGAGGTAGTATAACTTTAACAATGCATGAATGTGCTTGAATGGTTGTATAATGCAAATATATTCTAATATTATATTATAGTAATAATAGGCATCTATATACATATTTTACAAAAAATTGCTTGATCGATTTTTAAATTTTTTTAGCCTTTGTGATTTTGGATCAAGCAAATTTTTGTTTATAATTGATTATTTAAGATATCCTAACTACAAACTTTTAAAGGTTTTTGATTGGTTGAATAAGTATTTAATCATTAGTCAACCAATCAGAAGTTGAGTTAAGATATCCTTTATAAAATATATTTAGTTCTATCTTTCTATGCTTTTACAATAGCCTATCTTACACTGGAACTTCATTGGATTTTCAAAATTAAGTTTTGGATTGCTGCAGCCACGTGTTTTTCATATATCTTTTTGCAATGGCCTGCAAGTTTTCTCATGAATACAATGACAAAAATTATTAAAAATTAATTTAGTTTAATAACTGACTTGGTTTGTAACACATGTTTTTAGCTGGCTTTTTTCAATAAAAATTTTGTCTCACTGAGAAATTACAGTGTTCAATATCTGTAAATGAAGTACCAATGTTTGACAATATCTATATTGTATTACATGTTGTATTCAGAATGTGCCCTTTGCTTTAAGGTTTGACGCCAAATGAGCATGCAGTGTCGCCTATTGGACATACAAATTCTGGTCATGCACGTGCGTACAGTTATATGAGTGGCTCCGATGAAGAGATAGAAAGTGCCAAACCAGCAGCAGTGCCATTACTGGGTAGAAATGGAGCCTTTCAACCAGTGGTCAGATGTCAAGATCTCCAAAATGGAGATCACCGTTGTAAAATGGCGCAAACGTCAGAATCTGAAGAGGATAATCGTCATCCTGTACGAAGAACAAGTCGGACAGGTAAATTGATATCTTGATTACATCATTATCATCATTATCATTACCTTGGAAACATGACATTATGACATCATTATCATAGCGTCATCACATCCTCATGGTAACCAAGTTTCATTTGACATCATGATGCACTACCATCATAAATTGACCTTTGTACCCTTTTGTCCAGTACAGTGCTTGTATCCATTTGCTTTAAATGTTTTATGTAGCTAATATTATCATTATAGTGGCTTTAAATGTTTTTTATGCTATGGCTTTAAGTGTTCATTATATCAGCTTTATTTATACCCCATTCACCAATTTGTTGATATTGTGGCTTTAATTGTGCTAACCATTGTGGCTTTAAATACTGCAATTTAACCATTGTGACTTTAATTGTGCCAACCATTGTAGTTTATCATGGTTTTGAAATATTGCAATTTAACCTTTTCAGATTTTCTGCGTCATAAATTTGTCATTTTTTTTTTATCGTATCATATTCAGTTTTAAAGCTTTTAACTCCTGTGTTCGAATCAGATTACTCAAAATAACTCATCCTGTATAATATAGGCCTAAGTATCTCAAATATTTTCTGACTGGAATCGTAAACTTAACAACCATTTCTGTCCACTTAGCTAATAATGGTTGATTGGTATTTAGGTTTGTCAGTGATATTTGTGCCTGTGCTTTACATAGGAGTCTCTATGAACTTCCTCACTCTTAATACCCCATTCTGAGCTACCCCACATAGCTAATAATGTTTATTTGATATTCATCAACGTCAATTTCACTTCAGGAAGCTTTCTTTATATTTTATCAAGGTTTGAAAATTGCGTAAACAATACCAATATGTTTTGGTAATTAGCGATAAAATATCTCAAGTTTGTCAGCGAAGATACAGCCGTAAACGTAATTTTACACCAAAACACATTTTTTACGTCTGCACACATCATTTGACGTCGATGCGTCACTCAACAGACGTCAGAAGGCTTACTCTTTATGCTTCCTTGAATATATTTTTATAATTAGAACTGTAAACAAACAGCAGGATGATTCTATTGTGCTCTCTCAAACATTGTTCAGAATTAGAAACAAAACAAACACACTGTATCCAATTGTTGTGTAATATTTCTCTTGTCAACTCGCCCCATGCTGATAAATATCCGTACAAGCAAGACAATTCCAAATCTCATTAAATGTATGGCAATATCGAGAGTAAAAGTTGCATGGTAGTGGACTCCTATAAAGAGAAGTACCATCAGGTGTTTTGGAAAGAGTAAGCATGGTCTGCTTCTGTTCCTTTTGTGGACATTTATGGACTTTGAGATATAACAATCTAAGAAACTGTAGTTTTAGTTCATTTTATCCAATCAGATCACTGTATTTCTGAAAGCTCTACTTATTTTAGTTTAAAAACTTGAAACGATGCGCTGCTGTTCTAAAAGAATTTATACGATGTTAAATTTTAATTGTTAAGTTCTTCAATGATTTAGAAAGCAAAACTAAACAAAAACTTAACGAAAGAACTAAAAAGTCTGTAAAAGAACTACAATTGTTTCTGCATCTTTGCACTCTACTTAAAAGTTCACATCTGATGCCAAAAGTCTACCCAAATTCTCATCAGAAACTCATCGTTTTTAACGCACGCTGGTAACGACTTAAATCGCAGGGACTTGATAATAATTGTTTTCTAATTAGAAATAGATTTAAACCAGAAACACGTAAAATCTCTCAACAGGCCGACCTATAGCCATTTTATTTTGATTAAAGATACATTTGGTAACGTTCAAAACGGATTAAATAATGATTTCAGAAATCTAATTCTTTTTCCCCACCAACACGTCTGTCAAAACTGAAACCGAGCCGCGACAATTTTCTTCGGCTTCAAGAAAATGATGGAATTTAAGAGAGAACTATTAGATGCTAAACGCACTTTAATGATTATCCGAGAATTTGAGAACATCAGAAGTCTACGGAAACGTAAATGATATCCTCAAGTTTTCAGACATTAAGGCCGGTTAGGAAATTAACGAGAGTGTTTTTGGAAACGTAATCTGATAGAAAATGGCGTGGTAAATTTAAAAAAGAAAATGGCGTGGTAAATTTTAAAAAAGAGATCAAACTTCTGTATTGAAGCCTAAGGACCTAGGCAGGAAACACCAGGATAATCTAAATTACTGTTTTTGGAGAACTCTTATGATTAGAAAATTGTTCTGGAAGTTTTGTTGTTTTGAAACTTTCAGTGGAAGTTTATGATCAACCAGGATAGTAAATGGGCCTGAAAAAGCAATAGGGGCAAGTTTTAGTATATGATTGGTGAATACAGTCAAATCAACAGGCTAGAGCTCTAGTCAGACATGACTGGTAAATACAGTCAAATCAACAGGCTAGAGCTCTAGTCAGACATGACTGGTAAATACAGTCAAATCTACAGGCTAGAGCTCCAGTCAGACATGACTGGTAAAAACAGTCAAATCAACAGTCTATAGCTCTAGTCAGACATGACTGGTAAATACAGTCAAATCTACAGGCTAGAGCTCTAGTCAGACATGACTGGTAAATACAGTCAAATCAACAGTCTAGAGCTCTAGTCAGACATGACTGGTAAATACAGTCAAATCAACAGTCTAGAGCTCTAGTCAGACATGACTGGTAAATACAGTCAAATCTACAGGCTAGAGCTCTAGTCAGACATGACTGGTAAATACAGTCAAATCAACAGCCTGGAGCTCTTGTCAGACATGACTGGTAAATACAATCAAATCAACAGTCTAGAGCTCTAGTCAGACATGACTGGTAAATACAGTTAAATCAACAGCCTGGAGCTCTTGTCAGACATGACTGGTAAATATAATCAAATCAACAATCTAGAGCTCTAGTCAGACATGACTGGTAAATACAGTCAAATCAACAGGCTAGAGCTCTAGTCAGACATGACTGGTAAATACAGTTAAATCAACAGCCTGGAGCTCTTGTCAGACATGACTGGTAAATATAATCAAATCAACAATCTAGAGCTCTAGTCAGACATGACTGGTAAATACAGTCAAATCAACAGGCTAGAGCTCTAGTCAGACATGACTGGTATATACAGTCAAATCAACAGTCTATAGCTCTAGTCAGACATGACTGGTAAATACAGTCAAATCAACAGTCTATAGCTCTAGTCAGACATGACTGGTAAATACAGTCAAATCAACAGGCTAGAGCTCTAGTCAGACATGACTGGTAAATACAGTCAAATCGACAAGCCAGAGCTCTAGTCAGGCATGACTGATAAATACAGGCCAATCATCAACCCTGACCTAAGTGATTCTGATGTTTAGTTTATGTGCCGTTGGTATGAATTCTGCACCATGAGTCAGGGATTGTGATCCACACTAATCTTTTAAACAGACGACACCTCACATATTATCTTACTGCAGACTTGGCTACTAAAACCATTAACTTCATGTTAACTGACTTAAATTAAGATTTAATGTCAATTTCCATTCCAAGTTAGTATTTTAGTGGAATTTCTTGGTACTAAATGCTTCTTGGAAATTCAATAACATGAACCAATATTTTCTAGTTCATTTTGAAAAAGATACTTTCATTTTATTTGTTAATTTCATAGTTAAAGGGACATTCTGCTTTTTTTCATTACATAAGGTTTTTAACTTTACTGTACTAATAATATCAAGCCATTATAAAGCCGAACACCAAATCTAAGTCAAACTGCTTAATTAACAATTAGTACTCTCTGTTTTTAATTAACCCTCTTAAACAAATTCAGTTTGATCAAGAAGATACATAGATATAAATAGTATATTTTAGAAATATTTCCAGGTATAATTTATAATATTTTTGATAATGAAAATATTTCACGAATAAAATGCTAAGGCCCTTTAGGTGCAATTTTTTTGCAATCAGGTTATCACATTGTCTCAAAGTTTGAACCCCATTTTTGATTTTTTATCAATTTTTAGATTTATTCTAATACTGTAATTTATAGTCTCTACTTGTGATCTTGGCCAGTGCTTCTACAGGAGAGTATCTCTTCTAACACCTGACACTATTTTGAAAATTACCATGTCTTGGATTTGTTCAGTTTGGAGTCAATTTTGAAAAATATGTTAATATTTCACTCTACGGTTTAGATATTTTTGTATTGAGGTTTTCTTGCTTATTTTTGAATGAAACTTGCTGGTATAAATTACTCATCCAGAAAATAAATTCTTCGACAATTCAACCACCTGTTTCTGTAGTATTCAAGTTTTTATCAAGGACCAGCTGGTAGACAGGATCCCCATGAACCTTAGATTTTATACTTGTAAAATAATTACCCAAAGGTTTTTCCAATGACCAGCTTGTAGAAAGGACCCTCTTGAACCTTAGATTTTATACTTATTAAATAATTACCCAAAGGTTTTTCCAAGGACCAGCTGGTAGACAGGATCCCCATGAACCTTAGATTTCATATTTGTAAAATAATTACCCAAAGGTTTTTCCAAGGACCAGCTGTTAGAAAGGACCCTCTTGAACCGAGTTTGTTACCCTTGTAAAACTAGGTTGTTTCTATTTATAAGATCTTCATGAATCAAAAATTCTATGCATGATAGATTAACTTTTAAATCATGTTTTAATTTGATGGTTTAGTACCCATTAGCTCTCGTTCTTGTTGCAAAACCACATGTGTCTATACAGTTCTAAATACTGTTTTTAAGTTCATCTTGAAAGTGGTTGATTAAAGGTTTGAAATGTTTGAAAGAATGATGAATGGACGTTAAGTGAAAGTTTGAAACTTTGAAAGTTGGTAATTTATGGGAGGAGAAGTGACTGACTAGTCTAACGATGGAACTGTGATGAGAAATTGTTTTAAACATGGATGGGTGGTGAGATTTACCTTCAAGATATCTGATAAAATAAGCTAGAGATTGGTTACACACAGAGGCGATTGGTGAAATTACAGCATCCAAGTTTGAATCCAAGAGTTAAATGTAACTTTGTGTTGCAAAAGTTCACCCCTTTTAAACAAGATCAGT